GGACTGATGTGTCCCCAAAACTGTGGTCCTAAGCCCCAAGCCCCAGTGACTCCTTTCCCTTCAGGTGTTTATTTAAGGCTAAGAAGTTTACAGAACGTTGTCCCTGTATGCTGTACAAGAGGGCTTCAAAAGACTGTGGATAACATAGAATCGAAAGATGCTCAGCAACAGATATAGACACGTACTCAGGAATTTCCTCTACCAAGCAGACACGTGCACGCGGGTACAGTCCTGTTCCCTATTCCACTCACGGTTATTGTTTGTTATTGTTGCCAATGCGGGGTTGTTTATGTAATTGCAGGTACCTTTGTCATAGTTACTACGCACCACTCAGGGCCTGCCATTGTCCTGGTCCACCGTGCTGACCTCCGAACTGTGTGTTGCCTTTCCCTTCACCCAAGTTCATGCAGACACACGCTAACGTTCAAAAGTGGCAGGATCAAGATGTCTAGATCAAGACAAGATACAGAGAAGATTCAAGAAAAGTCATTAGAGAGCATCTGGCTGAATTGACGGATGGGTTCAGAAGAGCAAGATAGCGGATTCTTTTTGTTTTGATGGGTCTTTAGGAATGAAATGGAATGAAAATTGTTTCTCTTGAAATAGAAATGGATATGCTACCATATGCAGTTGAGAACATCCTTCTTATAAATATGTAATGATTTGTGTGAATATTTTAATTATGTAAAACTCATCAAAACATTTCTTTGAAGGGATCCAATAATATTTTCAAATAGAAAATATCAACTTGGCAAGCGAATTTTGGGAAGATGAGGGCAACAAATGTATAGATGTGCTCTACACAATTGATCTATGTATTGTGATGAATTTTATGAGCCCCAATAAATTGATTTAAAAAAAAGAAAGAAAATATCAACTCAAGTAATTATAATGCTTTTGTTCTGTTTTAGGGTACAAAGGAGACCCGGATCTCAAATATAGTTTAAGAATATTTAGTAACTCTTAAGAGGCAACACAAAGACACAGGCATGTCATCCAGATGAGAGAGGCCATTAGTATGAGGTCATAATGTCGTCTGTGGATTCAGTCGCGACTCTAGTTAAATAAAGATGGAACAAAGGACACTCACAAATTCAGGACAGGTGGCAGATCAATGCATCAGTTACAGGTGGGACAGCGGAGCCGGAGCAGGACCCTGACTGGGACACATACAAGCCCCTAAGAGGGACTGCCCCTCCCTGGGCTGGCTGGACAGAGAGTGGATGGAGGTAATCCACTTTCCAAAGTCATCTGCCCCAGGGCAAAACTATCTACATCCATGGTTTGTGGGATAAAAAGGCTTTTCCCCAGCTTTGTCTCCCCCAAAGATATGCCAAACATTAGAGGCTATTTGCTAGCACATGGTGGGTGGTCAGATACATTAAGCCTTCAGATAACTGTCTGGTCCCACCACAGGTGGGGCCCACTCCCTCCTATTATGGACAATGGGTTACTTCTCCCTGAAGGCTTGCAGCCACCAGTCTGGTCCACTGTAGGTGGGATTCACACCCTACTGTTAATTGTTTCCATGGAGACCCAGAGACCAGGTTAAACCTACTCAGTGGCATCCAGTTAGGCTTCCATCCTGAATCTAGGATCTTGTCACATGTATGCCCCAATCCCTCCCCTTCCTATTGCGTGTATATCCCTAGATCGTCCCCCTCTCATTACTGTCTTACTTATAGTACAACCCCTTCCTGTGATGCATGTCTTTACCTGTAATTAGGGGGCTTGCATACCCCCAAGGATATATAAACCTTGGTTAGCAATAAAGAGCTCTCTCCCCTTGCGCCCATTCCCCTCCCCCTCTCCTGCTCACTGTCTTGCCCTGTAGGAGCGGAGGAGCTGACCAAGAGGAGCTGCGGTGAGCACGCTACCATGAGATGTGTCTGACTTGATTATTTCAATCTCTCTTCTATCTCTCATATTGTCTATGACTTTACCATAATATTTACTTATTGTCACTGTACAATTGCACCCACTGGACCTGTGATGATTGGTTAGGGGCTGGCTACCCTGACACTAGGTTAAAAACCAGAAGGAATTCCATGGAGGCTTCTTCCTTGTGAGAACCTGCGAATGGATTCTGGGTTTTCACTGTCACCGTCGCCGTTTGTAGTGGGGTGCTCAGAATGTAATCTCTAGGACAGTTCTTTCCCAAGTTTTTCTCACCTATATAATAAGTTAGCTATTTAATAGGCAGCCATAAAAACAATGAAATAGTACTTAATAGAGTATTTAAGCGTATATTCGGGTGCTGCTTTGCCAGTCCCCCTGCAACATAGTTGAGAGGGCAACACTCAGACACGGAACGGAGATAGGATGGAGACAAAGATGTGAGGTTAAGAGAGGCTTTATGAGGGTAAGGAAAGAGCTCCCGGGAGGGAAGGGAGAGCAGGGGAAGGGACAGGAGCATCTTGAGCTCCTGGGAGGGCTCCGAGGCCCGAGTAAGGTCAGGTCAGAGAAATCACATCGATGGGGCAGTGGGATATTTGTAGGATTTGGGACAGGGACATATGCAAATGAGGTGAGGAGAGCTGCGGGTGCTTGTGCCGATAAGGAGAAGGGAGGCTCCCTGGTGCTGCAGCTGCGAATCTGAGTCCTTCACAGACCAGCTTCTTGGAATGTGGGGGAAGAGGCTGCACAGTCCAGCTCTGGCCTTGAGAGGGCATGGGGCTGTGTGGGTGGTGCTGTGTGGACCCTGCCCAGAGAGATAAGTTCCTTGGAATGTTGGAAGCAGGGACTGCAAAGTCCAGCAGATCACCCATCTTTCTGAGAGGCTAGGGGAAGGGGCTGCATAGTCCGGACCCAGCCCAAACAATAGTCCTGTCTCATTCCACTTTATTAAGATTTATCATCTTAATTTTTTAAATTATGAAAGCAATAGTTTTGTTGTTATAAATTCAAACAATACGCTCTGGTACTCTAAAAAGACTCTTTTCAGAGTATAGATGTATGAATTCTCCTTTTCTTTCTCCACGGATTGCAGACTCCATGCGTGCTCAGGTAGAAGTGACGGATGCAATGACATCAAGCTTTCATTCACTTGGCTCCCTCTGTCAGAACAACAACCCCCAAAGCGCTAAAAGAACTTAAAAAGAAAGCCCTGGAGGTACAAACAAGAAAGTGATAGTTAGCAGAAATTCTAAAGAGAATTTCTAAAAAGTTGGCTTCAAGAGGTAAGTGGTTAAGTGGATTGGAGAGCTGGGCAAGATTGTGAGCCCTCAGAGTAAGTGTGGTAAATCCGAACCTCAGCGCCTGTAGTCTCTATTTGAGACCGGGTGGTCTTTCTTGGGTTAACAAGGCAGGATTCGTTTAAGGTGTGTCTTGAGTTAACCTCTTATAAGATTAAGGAAACAGATGGGGGAAGAGAGATGCCAAGCCGAACGGAGAGCTCCAAGCAACCAGGAAACAGCAGCTGGACAGACAGGGGCCTTCCTCCAGCGCGGACTCC